TCATGGAAGCTGCCAAATAACCAGCGATAGCAGGGACTTGGTTTGCAGGGCAGGTTCATGCACCATACCGACCTTTTTAGCATGGGTGTAAAAATCTCCCATTGAGTGAGATTAGGGGAGGGTGGGCAGTTCCTCAGTCCTAGAGGTCTTCAGGCCCACCAAGGCACTAAGAAAGCCCAATGGGGGGTAGTTAGGATGTTTCTGGCTGTAAGGCATGGTTTGACAAGTGACTTCTTAGCAGCAGTGCTGACGTGAGCGGTCACTGCATCCCCCCGCTCGCTCGACCCCAGCTGCCGTGGCCCAGGGACGGGAGAGCAGTGTTGGACGGTGGGATGGTGATGGCTTCCTGCGGTGTGCGCAGTTGTGCAGAGACCCGCTGCCGGCTGCCTGACACCCACAGACACCGGGACCCTCCTCCCCAGCACAGCACCCAAAGGCAAGCCTGACGCACGGGCCAAGAGCTGCAACAGGGCACAGAAAGAGCAGGAGAGACCTCGCACATCACCTGCAGGAGCTGGGAAATCACACGAAAATCCTCTAATTAACGTGATTTTTTTTTTTCCTCTTCTTTTAGTTATTTAACAGCAAGCAAACCGGACTCCCCCAAGGTTGCTCCATCCTACGAAAACCTAAAACTGACCGCCCGGAGAGAGCAGCTCTGCCTCCTCCACAAGCACCTTTCCCTGCACCAGCTGGGGCTGGCGAGCAACTGTGCCTCGGCCGACCGGGATGGCAGCAGCTTCTCCAGTCATTTGCTCAGGGCCAAAGACGCGGATGGCAGGACGCGGTCGCGTGATGGCTGGGAAGATCGCGCAACCTTGCTGAAGCTCCCTGCCGCCATGGTGTACGTGAGGGATCAGCACCTGGAGGAGAAGCTGCACCTCCTCAAGCACAGGGAGCGGCTGCAGCATTTCCTCATGCAGCAGTGCCAGCCAGGCCAGCGGGCAGATGGAGACCCAAAGCTCGCACCCGAGGAGCGGCCCCTCTCCCCGTGGCCGAGCGTCACGCCAGGATGCAAGGAGGAAAGGTCCTTCCTGGAGGATGCCGCAGATGGGAAGGAAGAGAAGGAGCTTTGGCTGAGCCGGGACAGCTCCGAGCTCCGAGAAAAGGTGAAGGCGGCAAGGGACGATGGTGCAGACACACCGCTGGATCTGTCAGACTCCGGCCGTGGCAGGGAAACGGGCTGGCACAACCGCCGGGAGCCGAGCCCTGGGTTTGTGCCGGCAACCCGCGGCCTCTGCAGGAGACACGGGGCAGAGCGGGACGACTTGCGCTTCCCCTACCGCTGGCCCAATGCCACCCGGGCACTGCCTGGTGCTGTCGAGGAGGAGGAGGAGGAGGAGGATGCAGCTGTGGTGAGTACAGCTCATGTTGGCATCAACTGTGGTCCCTTCCCCTCCCCAGGGTGTCCGGCACTGGTGCTGGCACCGTTATGACCACCATTAACGTCCCATGGGAGGATGGCTTTGCGTGCGAAGCCAACGGGGACATATTTGCACATGGCAAAGCCACAGCCGCTCAGCCCTGGCTCCCGTTCCCCACCTCCCCTCCCCTCCCGTGCCCCTCCGGGGTTTCCATCCAGGTCCAAGGACAGGCAGCGCCTGTGCCCCCTCCCGCAGGTTGATGCAGGAGGGGTGCTGGGCTCCCCTGCAACACACCACCAGTGCATAGAAACGCCCCTGCGATGCTTGTCCCCACGGGTGTCACAGTCATTGCATAGAGGCTGGGGACGGCCCTTTCCTCCTGCCTGGCGAAGGCAGCATTTGTGCTCCCTGTATCCTACAGCTCACGCTCTCACGGGAACATCCAACAAACAACTCCATGCCGAGCAACGCAGAGGCCCTTCCAGAGACCGGGGCAAGACTGGCTGTCAGCGCACAGAAGGGAGAAACAGGTAAAAAGCCCCAGGCAAACGTGACATTTGAGAAGGCAAGAGCAAAAGGTGCATTTTGGTGAAGGTATCTCACAGCCAGGAGCAATCCGTGCTGGGCTCTGCACGCACCTGCAATCCCCGCCGACCGAGTAGCTAACCAGCATGGGACACCCTTCCAGGGACCCAGGTGCTCCTGGCTCCCAGCTCCTTTGGGCCATCGGGGCAACTTCAGGTTTCACATTTCCATCCTTGAGGGCTCAATTTTCAACCCTAGGGATGCCCAAAATTCAGGTTCAGTATCTACAGGGAGAAAATAACCCCGGCTGTTCTGGAGAAGAGCCCAGTATCTCTGCCCAGGGTAGACCAGGAGCCAACGGTGGGGTGCCTTTGCACACCCTGCAGAGCACCCTGCACTCAGCTGCTGGGTGGCACAGAGTTCTCCAGGAGCTAAAGAGGTCGGTTTAGCATCGACCCATTGGCAAAACCCACTCCACGGTGAGGCCACGACAAGACAATGTTGCTGCTTCAGCATTACCCACCCCTCTCAGGGAAGCAGAAGCTCAGAAGTCGCCCCAGCGGAGATGGGGAAAATACAAGAGGTTTGCAGGTCTAGCACTGGAAAAACCATCCCTGTCTGTGCCCCCTTGCTCCAAAGCGTGCCCTGTGCTGGCACAGCACGTAGGGCTGAGCACGGAGCGAGGGATGCTGCTACCTGCAGCAGGTAGGACAGGATGCTCTCCTCCCTTTCCTTGCTCCATCCCTCGCAAGAGCCCTTTCCATTCCCAAAACCAGCAGTGCCCTTAGTCTGGGGACACGCAGTGCTTTCTCCCTGCCCAACCGCCACGGGACGTGGGTGCCAGGTTTGCCTGGAGGGTGGGAGGCAGCAGCCATGGGGAGCGGAGCGGGAAGCACGTCTGCCGAGAGCTGCTCGGTACCAGCCTTACTGGCTTGGCCAGAAAGTTGAGCTCGCCTGGATTAGTTGGTCTGGGCGTGTCGGAGCGGTTTGGGAACACTCTCCAGAGCAGGATTTTGCACGGTGGAAAAAAAAAAAGAAAGGGAGTCCTCTGTGATTTACATGCTAAAGAGATATCATCATAGCAGAAGAATTTCAGCTGATTACATTCTGGGTGTGGGAATACAGGACTTTCTTTAGTTCTCACCTTAAGGTTGACACAAAGCCCAGGAAACAATACACAAATACTTCTGCACTTTCTAGTGAACCTTGACCCATGGAAGGATAAAGTGAGGACGGGATCAGACTACAGGGGCTCTCGGAGTGCCTGAAAGCAGCACCGTCTGCTCTCCCCCCTGGGCAGGGGTGGCAAGGGAGGCTGCCCTGCTGACAGTCCCACCCCCGCTAGACCTGGGTGTCAGAAGCAAGAATTATTGAGGTCCTGGAATGCCCCTGCCCCTCAGAAGAGGGCACAGCTCCATCCCCAGCCCTTTTCTGCCCCTCCACGGCCAGCACGGGTGTGCCGCTGTGGGTGCAGACAGGGTGATGCCACTGCCAGCAAGGCTCGGTCCCTGGCCCAGGCAGCTTCACTCTGTGCAAAGGCCGGGTGCGTGCCTGGTGCGTGCAGGTACGTGTCTGGGGTTGTGTGGCCTCGGGGCCTGTGCACAGCAAAATCCTTTTGCTGGGCAGGGAAGCAGCTCCCCCACCTTTCCTTCCTCTGCTCCTCAGCACACGTTCCCTGCCGAGAGCCACCGACCGGCACCGGCAGCAAACTTGAGGACTGTCCATTTTGTCCCTCTTCACCCAGACGTGCTTCTCCCCACCTGGGACTCAAACGGGAAGGTGCAGTCTGGGGTTTTAGATACCCCTCAGCTTCCCAACCTCCACACGGCCACGGACTTTGGGGCAGCGCTTACGACCCTGGAGTAGCAAAGTCCTACAGATACAGCTTTGTTGGGAGCTGGTACCCCAACAGAGTCCTGTTGGATCTCCCATAAACGTTCATTTCAAGCCACGTAGCTTGCAGTGGCTCTGCTTTGCAACACAGTTTATTGCTGAATCTCTTTTCTGCTTCGATGGCTCTCAGAGCCTGGGCCGCTGGCTCTGCATCTGCTCGTGAGCTTGCTGGGCCCCCCGCCAGCCAAAAAACCCTTCCTTTTGTGTTTCCTTAGATGACGATGATGCTGAGTCTGGGAAGCAGGAATCTGATGAGCCAGACACGACGGACAGCGAGGTTTGTTTGCTCTCCTCAGCCCTTTAGCTTAGGCTGTCGGGTCCGAAGGGCATAAGAGAGGTTGTCCCCACCCGAGCTCACTCCAGAAAGTGGTAGCTCTTCCTATACAAGGTATCAAACCCCATTCCCAAACTGTTACCCAACTTGCTGCTGAGCGATAGAGGTACTACTCTTTCCAGCTAGTCAAGAGGGTTTATGAGCAACAGCATTTGTCACCACTCCATAGCAATGGTCACAAAGGTCCCTGGCAATGCAGCCGGGCCATCAGTTCCCTGTGAAAGCCAGGGTAGTTTGTAGACTGACTGCTCTTCTCCTTGGTGTAGGTGGCTGCCCCATATGAAGATGATCTCCTACAAGAAGCCCAGGCTGATGGGAAATATTTTTGCACCAAAGACAAAGCTCATGCACTGCAGAAGAAGAGAAAAAGAGGACAGGATCCCTGGACAAAAGGTAAGGAGGAGGAGTTTCTCGTGGCATCAGCTCAGGGCTACAACTTCTGCTGCTTCCCGAGGGGCTCCTGTGAGAAACGCCCGAGGGCACCGGCCGCCTTCCCTGCAGAAGAGAGGAGGGTGCTCCTCTGCCGGGTGCATGCCACGCTGCAAACAAATGTTTGCCCAAGGTGATACAGTGGAGTCTTTCGTTTCCCTGCGATAAGACACGCTGCACCGTGTTTTGGCAACGGTTGTGTCTCCAGCCAGAGGAACCCCTGCTAATGGTTAGCCAGGGGAGCCTGGGCAGGGTGGCCAGGAGAGCACTCCCGAGCACCTAAGCTAACAGGGCTAAGTCCTTCGTGTTTGCTTAGCCGGTCGGGGAGGTGGGGATTGGAGAAGGCCAAATTCCCAGGAGTGAGTTATTGACATTCAGAGAAAGGTTTCTGCCAACTCTGTTGATATTCCAGTGCGGCTGTGGAGGTTTTCCCTGCTGACAGAGGAATGTGTTGTACCCGTGTTTCCTACGGATGAATAAGCAGAAAACTGCTCCTGATAAGGGCAAGGATAAGACAGTGTGCCTGTCAAGTCTTAAAAAGTGCTCTGTCAGAAATACCCCGCTACTATAACCCCCTTTGAACCGTCGGTAAAGACAGGGAGATGTTGACCCAATTATAAATGTAGAGAGGGCTGTTGCTTGAGCATGAAGGGAGCTTGTTTAGCAGCCAAGCGCTGCCCCTTGCTCTGTGCCCGGCCTCCGGAGGTGCCTGCTCCCTCGGGGGACACCACCGCAGCTGAGTGAGAAGAGGATTTGCTCTACAAATCCAGCTGCTCGGAGCAACGGGGAGGAAGCTGCCCTGCGCTCCCCAGGGCGGGACTCTCCAGGACTGGATGGGGATGTCCTGAGTGAGGGCTGGATGCAGTTGTGGCAGGAATGGGGTGATGGAGAGATCTAACCCCTCCCTCAGCATGTGGTGTGTGCCATGTACATGGAAGGGGGAGAAATTCAAGAAATTCATCCCGCTGGTCTGGGTACCCTCTCAGGTACGCTCCTGCACCAGCTCGGTTCTCTGCCTGTTTCTGCTTCACATTGTTTCTGTTTCCAGGGTCACAACAGCCTCCCCCTGGTACCCGTGCATCTCACGTGTGAGAGGGGTTTCTCTTCGTCTTTCCTTTGCTGAGCTTTGTTTCCTCCTGCGCTGTCCCTATTTTGGGACGAGGCCACACTGACCTCCTACACGTAAATCCATCGCTCTGTGGTTAACTCCTGCGGTCATCTTGCTGTTTACAGGAGCTAAGAAGTCAATGAGAGGAAGAAAGAAAGTCAAAGTGGAGCCGTGCTCAGCGGGGATCACGAAGGAACCAGAGAACTGCTCCGCTTCCCACAATGATACCTCCGAGGAGAGCTAACAGCAGGGCAGGATGAGAAGCGACACAGATGCTGCAGACCACAGGAGAGGGCTCAGAAACCTCAGCATCCCACCCACGCTGGGAGAGCGACTCCTCCTGCCATGATGGGCCAGGAAGTGAGGAATTCATAAGGACTCATTAATGAGTAGAGCACCCTGAAAATCCTCACTCGGTGCCCCAGGAGAGGCTAGGCAAGGAAGAGCCGAGCAGGTGATACCTGGAGCAGCCAGGTCACTACTGGTGGAGCAGCGCGTTCAGTGACCCCCAGCCCTGCGCCAGAGCAAACTCTCAGACTGGTGCTAGGAAGAGGAGATGCCCTCTGCAGCATTCACCCTGGATCAGGACCGTGTCCTTCCCTGGGATTTCACGCAAGGAGAACGGACTACCCAGACCCTGCTCCCCATGTACGATGTCCCGGTGGCTGGCCGAAGGGTGGTGACCAAGCAGAACATCGCAGGGCCCCACGCACAAACCTGCATTGATTAAATCCCTACCCAGGTTTCATAATGTGTGGTTCTTGTTTGACCTGGAGAAAGCCCATGGTTTTCTTTTCTAGTTAAGAGGAGCAAGCATGTGGGTGGGCAGGTGGGACACGTCCCTGGAGAGGGCAGGGAGAAGAGCATGGGA